AGAGAGAGAGAGAGAAAGTAGATGTATATCTATCCTAACTGTTTTGTATATACAGATACAAAATGATCCTTCATTTATATCCCCTTTTTTTGTTTAGTTTTGTCAGAGATGGGTATTCTATTGCCATTTAAGTATTGTAGGTGTGTGAATTCAGCAAAATAATCCAATATAGTCCACTAGTCCATAATAGTAGTAGGTTATCTGTAGGACTGGCAATGTCAGAAGTAGAACTGGCAATGTCAGAAGTTGTTGACTTGAGCCTTTTACAGCTCAGAACCCAAGATATTAGTGGCTTTGTTTCATGAACTTACTCATCAGGATCCAGGTTCCATCTGTCTTGTGGCTCCCCCCCCCCACCCCGGCTGTAGGAGACACTTCCAGGTCCTCGTCTCAGTCTAGGAAGCCAATATTTCTAATCCCAAAGTTACATTATTGGAATCCCATCAGGTTGATTCCAGTCTACCACTTTCAATGCAACCCATGGCGAAAATAAAAATACTAAGTTATATTTTCAATCATTGGAGAATCAAGGGGCTCTAAGTCCAGCCACAAAGATGGCTTTCTGGAACAAAAAAAGCGACCCTGGGCCTCACCCGGTTTTTATTCAGTGGGGGAGTGGCTTGAGGAGGATTGACTGAGAATTGTGGGAAGTAGGTAACCATTGTGAGCTGAGCTAGGTGGGTGGCCTACATTTACCTCCGCCATATGGAGAGTGGATGTGCAGAGAAAGTAATCTGCATTATACTATTATGCCATAGAGATAGCATCTAATGTTTTGGGGGTCTGGTGCTTCAGCTTTGATGTAGTCTTTCAAGCCTCAGGAAGTCATAGCCTCTATCTCAAGGCTCAATCCCAGCAGGTGGCACGGAGCATTAGCTCTACCGTCCTATCTCGGCCCAGCTCACATTAAAAAGCAGCAGATTGACCAGGGAAACACGCACGCCACCCTCAAAGACAATCATCAGCACCTCAGCTGGACCAATACACATTGCTTAAGGCCAATTGAAGGATAAACAGAAGTCCTAGCCAGCTCTGTACAAAACAATACAAGGAAATACGGTCAGGTTCAGTCAAAATGGAGATAGTCGGTCTTCTTTCAAGGAGAGCTGTTCAGGTGGTCCTCCACACCCTGCACCTTGTGTCTTCTTTCTGTGTGGTATAGTGAGCTCACTACTATATCCACATTCTAGCTAGAGCCAAAGATGCAAGATTTGAGAACACAGCTCTTTAAACACGTGATCTAGAGTCTTATTAAAACTTGCACTCATCTCCCATAGGCCAGAATTTACTTGCATGACTGTACTTACCTATAAGAAGACTAAGAATTTTTTTTTTCTATCTATATTTATAGCTGAGTAATCTGTTACTTTGAAAGGAGAGAAAAGCTATTGCAAACCATGACTAGTATACTCTTGAAAGTAATTTGCTCATTCATAATGTCTTTAATTCTGTTTTTTAAAAAACCATTTATTTATTTATTTATTTATTTATTTATTT